ATAAAATAAATAGACAGTTGATAAATATTTATTTATTTCTTGCCTTTCGCCTTTAAAAGAAATATGAAAGAAATATAATGCATATAATATAACGTCGTGTAAATAAAAATATAAGTTTTAAGTAAATATAAGTTTTACATATCAATGCATTTCAGCCTAATTAATCTCTACATAATAATTTGATTTGATACTTATATTTCTGTAATATATAATTGTACAAAATTTTTAAGATTTTTATTTTATCTCTTTAAGAATTTTTTCTATTTCTCATCTTTATATCCTGTATCATATTTAAAATTCTGAATTTTATTTTATTGTCTCTCTTTTTTAAATATCTACATCTCTTTCGAATAATTTGTAAATTATCTCAAACCTTTTTTTCTTTCTTTTCTTAATCTTTTAATCTCTACCTCAAACATTCCATTTTTACAATACATGTTTTGACCTGCCTCTTATCTGTTTTTAATCTTCCTATTTTTTTTTTATTTCCCTAAAACATTCCTTCAATATATTATTACTCAATTTCTCTCTAATTTTTTTCTATATATAATAAATTACGTATAATTACGTAATGGCCTACGATTTGGTAATGGCGTAAATTCACGCTACCGCTAAAGAAAGGCACATCTATATAATCCGCCCTCGATACGATCTCCAATTACCGCTATAGAGATCGTAACCCTTCTCCTTTCCGTCTGAGGGGTTTCGCCTAGATTTCTCGGGATCTTCCTTCGAGAATACTTCGACTTTATCCATCTCGCCATTATGAAACGAGTATATTAATGAAATAAATCTTCCTGATTTTTTTTACAGAAAGCACGGTTATTATACTCGATAGCGCTTATGTAAATACGCTTTGTAATTTTGCAATGCAATACAGACTAATTCATTTAAGAGAACTATTTATTTATTTTATATATAAACTGTTTTAAAAGCAACAAACTTTTTAGATTAAAATATAATATTTTATATTATATTTTTAGACATAACGTCAAATTAAAGTATATAATTGTAAATTATGCGAAAATTAATTTAAAAATTATTTTATTGAACTGATTAATTGTATCAAATTATTATATATGTTTTCATAAAGATCTCACAAGAAAGTATCATTATTGATAAATAAAGATGTAAATGTAAAAAAGTAAACTATCCTTTTTTTCATAAAATACGATTCTTTGTGAAAAAGTTTCATTTTTTTCAAAATTTTATATTATTTTTTATAAATATTTGACATTCATATTTTGATTATTGCAAGTTAACTTTTTATTATATTTTTGATGATTCATTATTTTTTAGATGATAAATATGAAGTAATCACTCCTTTAAAAGTTGAATCGCATTCTAATTAGCTATATAGTTATGTAATTAATTGTGATTAGAAATTTTCTCTATTAATCAATTATTAGAATTCGAATAAATTTTGCCCTTTCATTATAGATGCAAAAATATATAAAAGTTTATAAATTTTAAAAAGGTATATGTTTAGTCACTATTTTAATATAATAAAAAATATCTGAAATTCTTACATTTTAAATTTTTTCTTTGGAAAGTAATTTTAATAGTTTAATAAGATTTTTACAATTAAAATAAAAACAACATAGTTCAGATATAATTTTTTATTAAATATGTAATAAAAAATGTTGTTATCCCTCTAACTAAAAATTATTCAAATACCAATGTTTGATGTGATTTGTTGTAAATATAATTAATAAAATAATCATAATAAAAAAATAATAATAAAAGTAATTAATTCATTAAAATTACTTTCAAAACAAGATAAAATAAAAATATAAGAATACTATAAAGAGATTTTTATTTATATTAATAACAAATATGAAGAAAAATAATATTATGCAACAAATAATAATAATAAAACGGATTTTTACAGATTTATTTAAGGGTATAATTATTTACATCATAAATATGACAAACATGCTATTTTTCGCTTGCATTAATATCAGTTTAAATGCATTCGCAATATTAAGAATTAATGCGACGCCATTATAGCCGATAGAATCGAGTATTAATAGGAATGTGATGCGAAGATTCACGTTTGTCGATCTTGGTAGGAGCTATAAGTCTCCGCAGATGAAACAACCGTCCTGCCTCTTTCCCGATTATACATAGGGAGGAGGAGGCTTATTCAACAGATTCAGCTCACTCAGCATAATCACTTGTTGCTCTTCTTCAGCTGCATCGGCCATTGTAAATTTCCTCTTTCTCTGCATTGCACGATGCAATGCATCGTGATGCACATTAGCCGCCCATCGACATGTATGTTTTTACCTTCTTGCAGTATCTATCAAAACCGCCCACTGAAAATCCATTGATTAGAGACGCGCACTTTCGTCTCGATGTCCGCGCCCGTAAAAACGACCAGCAAATTCGTCTCTCTCTCTCTCTCTCTCTCTCTCAAAAAAAAAAAATTTTTTTATGATATAACTATAAGTTTTCAGATTATATCTATGTAATTCATCTATGTACATCAAATTATGCGATTTGAGCCATTTTTACGATACTATAAAAATCTACATCTTTAACAATTCATTGCATCGCATAAAAATGCTCACAAAAATTGTAGAAACTTGTAAAAAAATTTGTAAATTTATTTTAACTCACTATAACTTATAACAATTTACTGTGAACTTCTGCAATTTTCACAAAATTATGATTTATTATTGAAAATTTTAATTTTTCGTAGAAATATGTGTATATAAAATATAAAATTATTTCTACCAGAGCAACTGCAAATTATTATCAATTACTTTTGTTTCCACCAGTAATCTTAGAAACTGATTGATTTGATTGTTCATTCCCGGAAAAAGAATCATTTGGCATTTATTAATTAATACGTCGTACTAAGAAAGCATTCATCAATTGTGATAATGCGATCTTTTCAAAATGATCGGTTTTGAAGTGTATTAATTAATCTTTATAGAAATTGCATACCTCCATAAGCTTTTGAGTATATAAAATCAAGAAATATAATGAATGAAATATGACAATAATGAAAACGATATAAATTAATAATTATAAATATTTTAAATTATAAATTATTAATAATTAATAAATACGATATAAATTAATTATTATTACTAACAATTAACAAATTAATAATTACTAAAAATAAAGATTACATATTAAGAGTAAACAAAAATCCTTAAATATATAATATATTTTTAATTGTTACTAAAAATAATTAGATTTTTATCGGCGAACTTTAATTGCAAAATTGTTTCATTGTTTTAATTTATTGGCTCTATTGAATATTGATTGTAATTTGCATTCGTGCATGTTACCGGTAATAATAGATCAAGATAGCTAGCAGGATAAGAATCTCAATGGATGATTTCCCACCTTTGCGTGTTTATCGTAAGACGTCACACGGGAAACAGAGGATTATCAATCCTCGCCATCTTACTGTTTTCCTACCTACGCAATGTTACACCGATACACATCGGTAGGCGCGAAAAATCGTTACTACTTTATTAGCGAACAGTGCATATCATAATAAATTTAGCTGAAAGATTTCCTAGGAAATATCCTCTACATTGATGGATTGAAATTATGCCGCGATCGAGGATCTACTGAGAATGTTATTACATCGCGCTCTTGAAAATTACATCTTAATCGTTAATTGTGCTTCTCACGCAAAAATAATAAACGGTATGTGTGACTGTATATATTATATTATTCAATTAATTATACTATAGTGCTATTATGTTCACTTTAGAGAACATTCTCTATTACGAGAAAAAACATTTGAAATTTTAATGAATATTGTTACTAAAATTTTTATGAAAATAAATATTATTCGATAAAAAATCTAAAAAAAAATGTTATTTGATCAAAAATTATAATTAAGATCAAAATTTGATATTTAATTAATAATGTGTTATACATTTACGTTATACATGTACGTTTTGTTATACATTTGTCATATTAAGTTTTAATTCGATCTCTCCCTCGAATATATTTTTAATACATACAACTTATTTTCTATATTACAGAATATAATTTTTTAATTTTTAATCATCACATTTAATTATGCATAATAATGGATACGTATAATAAATCGTACTGCACAGAGCGGTACTCTAATCTTATTCATACTAATTTCGGCCAATAATGAATCCTTGCATTGTCTCATTCTTTGGATAATATTAATATTTATTACTTACTCCTACATTTTTTCCTTCATTTCAAAGATCTTTGACATTCTCGATTTCAAGGAAATCGTGTCACCATATGTAAAATGTAGCAATAATTTTCTGGAAAATGCTCACTTTGGAAGAATCACTAAAACATCTTTTTTTTAAATAAATAGCATGGAAGATTATATCTTTCAGTGGACTCTCAGCATTTGCAACTACTACTAATAAATAAAAATCTGATCGTATACTACTACTAATAAATAGAAATCTGATCGTATACGTTTCGGCAAAATTACTAAACTGGCATGACTGTGTAACATAGTTATAATTCTTGCGTAAGAATAAATGTCAGGGTCGTTCGACCCGGAAATATCTAGCGCGCGTGTTTACAAAAACATAACAAAATATCCTCTATCTCTAAGTCCTCCTGAATCCATAAAATCTATCGTGCTACATTCGATCTAAAACATTAAAATTTCATGAGTTAAAAATAGTCTGCTTACAATATCAAATAATGTGTGAAAATAAACTAAAATCAAATAAATAGTTTCAGTTTCTCTTTGTGTGTTTTTCGAAGAATATTATACATCTAATTATACATAATATGATACATATTTAAATATATAAAGATAAATGATTTAGATAAATATCTCTCCATGTTTAAATCAATTTTTTATGACGCATGTCTATAAGAATTATGCATATTTTATCTTTCAATTATATTTAATAATTTTTCTGATTTGCATCTTTGTAAAATTTGTCATTCTTGACAAGATATTAGATTCGTCAGGTCATCAAATAGATACGTTAACAACTTTTTTCTTACATAAATATTTTATTTATGACACATGAGAAATATTTTATATATATAAAGGAAGACCTATACATTTGTAGTTTATGGCTCGAGAGGTGTGCGCCTTGTCCGAAAATAAAAATGCTAAAAACCACAGATTATTTATTGATGGTCAGCATGCTCCGGTTGTGGGTGAGCCAAAACGTAGTTGACGGCTCTCTGGATCTGCTCAGGTACAGGTGGGGCAACCGGCAAATGGGCACCCTGCGGATGGAATCCGTTTTCGTCGGCGGAGTATGAGACGGCGATCGGGGTGCCATCGGGAGCGGTGTACTGATATTGACCCTGGGCGACGACCGCAGGTTCTCCCTTGGGTCCGACAGGTTGCGGCGAGCCCTGCTCAGAAGCGGAGATCCCGTTCTCTGTCTCATAGGCATAATTGTAGCTTCCCTCGGGCGAGATGTCCTGTGCTTGCTTTAGAATAGCCACCGGTTGGTACTCCGGGTGCCGTTGAGCCACAGCAACGGTAACTAGAGCGAGAGATACAATCTGAAGCAGAAAAATATGTATAATGAAACACAAACAGTGAAAGAAGTAAATACAATGTTTAATACAATCATACATTTAAAAATTATGTAGAAATATCTTGTTTACGTTTGCACATATATCAAGTATTATTGATCATGTAATGCAAAACTTTTATCGATAATTTAGAATCTTATTGCGGCTGAATGCAGCAACAATTATAAAATAGTAAAAGAATAATTGTGATAATAATTAGAGACAAAATATGGTTTCTGAAGATTATATTCGAACTATTATTATGATCAAGTTATACTATTAATTAATTAAAGAAAGCACGAAGAATCTATAAAGTAAATGATATATTTATGTTATTTATGAATTGTATGTCGATTATATAAATTCAATATAATTGGCCGGAAAGTACAGAAGGCAAAAAGCGTTATTTTGCGCGCAATGTTGTACACTGCAAAAGATTATAGGTTTAGTAGCGAATCCGTGAAAAAGATCAGATAAAGTGTTAAATAATCTTGAGATAAGTGAGTTAATAGTTCATCTATAATTAAGGATCTACCGTTTCCTAACACGAGTCTCACTGTTGATTAGTTGCATTTAATCTGTTATTGTGTTAATTATCTATTCTTTCCTCAATTGATTAGCTAAGCAATTAGATTATAACGGATTTAAAACGAGTTGTTATTTGCAACAGCCGAGGAATTGAAGCTTAAATGGGAAAAACCGAGAAAATATTACACTCTGAATAAAAAATTAATATTGATAATTCTAAAAGATTCTTTTTTCTTAATCAAATTTCTTAATTAAACATTGAACATCTATAAGTTATAAGTCATATTATGTATAAGTCATATTAATTAAAATATATATAAAATATTAATTAAAATTGAGTTTGTTATATATAAAAATTTCTTATAAACACTTCAACTATGTAAATTTTTTTTGGAAAGATACAGAATCAATTAAACTTTAATTATATTATTTTTAACATTATATATTAAACTAATTGTTAGCTTTATTGTGATTTATTTATTTGAAAATAACGAAACTGAAAAAAATTAAATAAAATATGAAGAACTCACGAGAAATTTCATTTTGTCGAATGTCCCGAATCTACTGATCCTGCGTGATGAGATTTCGAGTGTGATTGCCGTGAGACCTGAATGCGTTTTTATACGAAACTGTAGACCCCACTTTCCCTGATCGTAATGGTACCCAAAAACGAGTAGAAGCGTGAATTTCATTTAGCCACGCCAAGAGGAAGGACAAGTGGAAAAAAGGAGAGGGGGCGAGAGAAATAGAGTTGCCCTACTCCAAACAAAATCTTCTGCCAAAACTTATCTGTCGACTTGACCTTTCAATGCGATGCCTAAATCGATCGATTGCATAATAGCCCAGAAATTCGTTGATATTACTTGTTCGCGCGATGTCCTCAAGAATTCATAATTTATACGATATAGTGCATAATACGTGCAAAATTCAAATAGATTCTAATAATAATTCTAATAATAATAGATTCTAATAATAGATTCTAATAATAGATTCTAATGATAATGTCCTGGAGCAAGCATTATTTAGGAAGTTTTATCAATAATAATTTTTTTGTTTTGAAATCCATATTTCTCTTAATGAATTTTTAAATCACTTCTAATATAACAAGCAATTCATTTTATTAGAATTCACTAAAATTCGCGAATGATACAATCGGATAATTTGTTTAAATTGCAAATTATCTCTGTTAAAAATAAACTTTCGTAGAATTTTTTAAAGAGAATTATGTAAATCTTTATCGAAAATACTTAAAATAGCTATAAAGTTTATTCCTCAAAAAAAATTGTGAAACAAACGCATGATTATGTATACACCTTCGTTTTTATTTTGAAAAAAATACTCGAAAACATTATATCATTTTAGACAATAAGAAGAAAATGCACCTTTCTCTGGTACTCCACGATTTACAAGTTGTTTGCAAATCGATTACTCGAGCATTAAGTTTATGTATGTTTCATGCTTCACAAACTTTCTTTACTTAAAGTTATAAATAAATAATAAATTTGTTTTAATAAATAATAATAGATTTGATTAATAAAATAAATTATATTTGTCAAATAACATTTGAATCGTTTAGCTAGATAATTTGGTAATCATATAAATTTAATATAAATTAACATGAAAAATTTATATTATAATTTTTTCAAAACAAATTAGAAAAAGAGGATCAATTCAAAATTCGTCGAAGAACTTAAAAATGAAATATGGAGAGATAATATGAAAATTATGTTCTTGCATGTTGTAACATATGTAGTGACAAATTGCAAAAGCATCAAGACAGTAAAATTAATGAAGTTGCCTATAAAATGACAATTAAAGAATGATTAATTGGAGAAAGAGACATTAACAGAAGTTAAGAAACTTTAACATTTGATCGTACATTCTCATTTACTCTCTATTTCTTTCTTTATTTGGCATATAATCGGAACTTCTTCCGTTTTTTACATGTTTTTGATCCTAAGGACAAGATTGTATCAATGACTATGACGAAAACAACATATTAAATCACAAGCATAAAAAATCAACACGTAAAGAGAAATTATTTAAAAATTTTAATTATTGGGTAAAATATAATTTTTTATTTTTGTTCCTACACTTTATTTGAAATGATTTCTGAACAATAAATATATATTTATACAGAAATTTAAAAAAATTTTTTTATTTTAGAAACAGAATTTCGTTTATTTGGAAATCCCTCACTAGCTGATAATTCATACGAAAAGAGAAAGATCGAAGATGCCGGCATTGCAACATCGACCTTGCCTAAGAATAAATGCCTTATGTCTAAACATAGAAGGCCAGCCGTCTTTCTTTTTCTAACACGAAAAGAGGAGACGAATTTCTCACAGCACAGTCAGGAACAATCAAAGCGATTGCAACGGCTTGTCCGCGAACGAGCTCCAGAGGAACGAACCACAGAATGCCGAAGCAAAAACGAAGATAAAACACAGTTGAAGTCTTTGTTCTTTCTTCGGTAATATTACGCGCCCGTTACGTCTTTATCAGTGGTCATTACTCAAGCAAATTACTTCTGAATGAAACCTAGCTCGGCTATTCTTACGTCAGAATTTTCTGAATGAAAGCTAAATCCAATTCCGATCTTCGTAGATAAGTGCAGTTTAATTTATTATCTATTTATTATATCAATCATTGTCATCATTATCGATATTATGGATCAATATAATTCAATTTTTCAGGATTATTTATTTTGTATTATTTACTACATCATTCATTATATTTTAATAATAAATTAATATTACCTTAAGTTGCTTTAAGTTGAATATTTCGTTTAGATAATCATAATTATATCAAAATATCCGACACTGTAAAAAAATATGTATAATCAATTTTTTTTTAATTAGAACAACGTGATGTGAATATATCATAAATGCCTTTATGACAGCTTAATTATGTGTGATAATAAATTGTTATAACGTCAGAATTCCTTGAATTAATCTCTATTTTGTAAACTAGCCTATGATATGCTCACAGCTTTCGATAACATAAAACAGTGCCAATTAATATATTGAGAGTATATCGACAGTGAATTATTCCAAAACATTAGCAATGGATATTAAAAATTATTCTATTTATATATTTTAAATAGCGCTATATGTATTCGCAGAGTATTATTTTTCTGTATATATTTTTCTCTCTTTCATTTCTCTCTAGTTAAAATATATAATTTAATTATGTAATATTTCTATTATGTTAATTGTGGCGCTTTACAATTTATATTAAATTAATTTTAGCTACAAATTTATAAAATTTATTTAATTTATATTAAATTAATTTTAGCTACAAATTTATTAAATTTATTTTTATGAATTGATTAACATTTCTCGATTTACTTTTTATAAGAATGTTGAGTATTAAATACTATCATTGGCATAATTGCGAAATCATGTTAAATATCTATAAAAGACAAAATGTGGCTATCTTCATGTGATTCTCAATGTCGAACTTAATCATACAAAAAATTATTCATACAGAAATAAATGTTATTTTTTTCTATATTACGAAAATGTAGCATAGGCAATAATTATGGAATGAATGGAAACTTTAAGACAAAATAAAATCAGCAATTAGCGTACTTGTGACTTAAAAAAATTAAATTATTCGCAAATAAGTGAGGTGATTTTAAGCATCTATAAAAAAATGAAATAATCAGCTACTTATCGTCACACAAAGATTTATAAATAATTCTATAGTCTTTATAACGTAGCAGATATTTCATTCTATATATCATTTCGAGCGGAGACTTTATCAAAAAATTATCGGCCAGTTAGCCTACAAATCTTCCGACATTTATTATTAACACATGCTAATCTTATCAATCTTGCTATCCTTGTGACTAGTTTCTTCGAGGCCGTAATAAAACGGAATTCGCAAACGTCATCATGCAAAATGTTTAGTGAGTACATAAACTCGAAACTACGATATTATTATGTAGATGTGTAGACTATTAATGTGTTAATTAATTATGATTCTAAACTATGACATAAATTCTAAGCGTATTAGTTCAATTATTATATTATATAACATTTTTAAGTAATATTTTTTATAATATTTTTAATAATTATATATAATGACAATCTAAATAAAAGTAAAAATATTTTATGACTTATTCAAATAATATTCTTAATTCTATATATTTTTTTAAATATAATTATTAATACTAATTTAATTCTATATTTGATTTGTACACAGTTTTCAAGAATTTAAATAAATTGTCATATTTAAATTATCATATTTAATTATTATATTTTTTACAATTACTCTTTTATAATTGCTACCTTCACAAATTTTATAGTTAGATTTTAAATAAATAAAATTAAAGAATTTAAATAAATTGTCATATTTAAATTGTCATATTTAATTATTATATTTTTTACAATTACTCTTTTATAATTGCTACCTTCACAAATTTTATAGTTAGATTTTAATACCTTTAATGATTATTATTATACTTGTAACATATACTTGTAACATATTATCATAACAAATTTTTTTTTAGTTGTAAAAGAATATTTTATCCAGAGTATGGTCTTCATAGCAATTGTCTTTCAATCAGACTATACAATAATAAATTTTTAAGGTGTGTCATCTTCTCATCATAAAACATTTTATAAAATAATAACGATTGTGATCGCGTCATAATTAGCACATAATTTATTCGCCCTTTATAATTTATGCTGTGCAATATCCTAATAACACTATGCATACATCATCGCGTGTAACTATGTCAAGAAATTTTGAATTATATAAAGTAGTGAGGAGTAATTTTAATGATAGATCATCAAGTAAGCATTCATACATTGTAGAAATCAAATCATTTTTAATAATAATAAATTTCTCATTACATACATTCAATAACAATTTTATATGCTTTTGTTACACAAGAAAATAATTCATTGATATTTTAAATTAAAAAGTTAAATTAATATTTGTTAAAGTTTAATGTAGAGGAAAGACGGGTCCCGGACAACGGGTAACTCCGGACATTTTAATATCTCTAATAAATTAAACTGCTTAAAAAAACAAATGACACGTTAAAACATGTCTGTCTCAGTACATGAACAATTGCAAATCAATAATAATATGTACGCCAAGCGGATCAGATGTTATAATAAGTTTTATTCCCATTAAGAGTAATATTACGACGCCCATCAAATTTTGTTGATGATTATTGTTCATTAAAAGTAAGTACTGTTACATGTCTGATTGATTTTAATACTAACAATTAAATATAATTTAAGATTTTTATACATTTAATTAATTCTTTTTACATTACACAAATTAATTAATAAATAAATTATATTAGATCAAGTCAATCGGGATATCACCAGACATTAATATAACGGGTCTTTTTTTATGAACTTGTTGCAAAAAGTAAAGATACTAAAGGTACTAAAGGTGCTAAAGGTAATAAATGCTAAAGGTATTACTACACTACAAAACAAAACAATCAAGATTTTTCATCAAGACAAACATCAAGACACTCAATGCATTGCTTGCGGAGAACCCTTCGAAGAAGATTGAATCCAATGTAAATGCAAAGAACACACGAAGAATCCGTAGACATTGATCCTTCAAATATATATTTTTATTGACGTTTGTAAGAACAAAGAACGAACAGATAATTGCTGAAAT